CCATAGAATGATTGTTATGGGTAAACATATGAAGGTTTGAAATTTGAAGAAAATCGTTTTTATTTTCTTTCCATATTTTGAAGGCAATTTGAATCCAAATGACTTCAAGATGGGGTTTTTTTCTACGGAATTCCAAAACACAATGCGACAGAGTTGTCCCCTTGCCCCGAACGGCTTATGGAATTGTAAGGAAGAAAACCCTAAGCAAAGTTTAAATGGTCTAAACCCTCTCTACTCCTTGAAGTTTCGAAGAGAGTGAAGGGAATTAGACTAAAATACTTTCAAAACTTCTTAAAGTCAAAGATTTTTTAAATCCTTTCAATTTGAAAGAAAAGAATATATTGAATGTGACATTTTGTTAATCAAAATTTTAAAAGAATAATTTGGGGACCTGATTTGACACTGATCGCTCTCATAGGAAATCCCAGGGAGCAAGGTCAAAAATCAAGACGATCAAAAGGGACAGAAATTGGGAGGTAGGAACCTCTCCCCTTTAATGTTATTTTAATTTAATTTAATTATTATTTAGATGCTGGCCACACTCCCCATATGAAGAAATTGCGTCGAGCGGACCAACGGAAGAAAGGATAGTTAAGACTACCAATGAAACAAAATTCAATCTTATTAAAAGATGGAAGAGAGATTTTGTCCGCACCGGGCGTGCCCATTTTTTGTGTTTGGTGGAATTTTGAAAACAGGTTTTGAAAAATATTAGTTTACTTTGCGGAATTTTAGAATTGAGCATTGAATCTTAACTCTATAAAGTCGAAGCCCAAACTCATTCGGAAAAAATATCACGCTCGACAGGATGAAAAAGAATTCCGTAACGGATGTTCAGACTTAGGAGTTATGTTGATATCTTTCTTGAATATTCATGACTGGATCCTATAAGAGGACTCGACAACGACCCTGAGGACAAAGTAGATGTCAAACCTAAATATTCCAGTTATAATACTTCAAGGCGGGTATGATTGCTGAATGCATATCCAAAAAGCCTTACAAAGAAAGGTGTATCTCCCCAGAGGGAAATAAAACACTTACAATATAATTCTTCTAATATTCGATGACGACAATTCACTCTTTAACTTTTTTATCCAAGAAATCTAAAGAAATTTTTAAGAAAAGAAATTTGATTTTTGAAATCAGGCTGTGTTGTTCCAAATCTTTACGAGCGCTAAAGCCCTCGTAGTTAATTACACTCGTAGGAGAGATAGAATCCCCCACCGAAAACTCTCTCGATTAAAATCAGACATAAAATTTTGTTAGATTTTCTAGGAGTGATATCAAAAATTGAATAGAATCTTTTGGGAGAATCAAAAGCGAGTGGCATCAAGATTGAACAGTTATATAACAGAATTCGAAGGAAGAGAGGTAGGGGGTTTCACTTTGAGATTTCCAGAACCATCCAGGAAGTGTCCCAACGCTAGTCTAAATATTGCGGCTTTAATTTTAGGATGAAAAACGAGATTTATTTGGTTGAATAATATTTATTAGAAAATTTTGGGACCTATATTCCAATTGGGTGTCTATATAATCAAAGATCTACCCCATATCCAAATCTTAATTTGGACGCACGGACCACAGTCGTCCGAACCTAACTAATGCCAGTGGCAACAACCTGGTCTTACCCCGGCCTTGGATTGGGGAGCCAGCCTATCACCTAATCGATTTAAAATATATGAAGCTGGTTCCTTTATGAAAGAGTGGTATGCGGATGTTTACATTAACAGTTTTGGAGACTTTGGGCCACAATCTAGAAAATTTTCCTAATTGGCCCCTTTAACTATATGTTTGGGTGCTTAAATGTAAACTGATACAATTAAAAATTTTGATCTGTTTAATTGCTGTATCTAGTCTTTAATGCAATGCATGCTGAGTTGGGACAACTTCCAAATCAAGTATGCTTGAAATTTTAAAAACAGGCTCTTAGAAAATCAATTTTCTAGAAACTGCGACTTCCCTTTAGGTCCGGGCACCTCGTCCTCATAGGTCAGGACTATCCGGACTATACCCGCAAGCGGGGAAGGGGTCTAAACAAGGAAAGGATGCAGAAATATTGCATGCGACCCCGGAGTCGTTCCGCCGGCTACACATTCCCTAGATTCGCTTACTTTCTATGTTATTTAGACTCACTAAAATTTTTGACTTTTAAATTATGGAGTATAAAACTTTCACACCCGTTACTGAGTCTCACGTATCCTAGGCAAAAACAAAAAAGTTGGGCACACAATCGCCAAAAAACTAGGAAAAGCAAGCAATCCTAAGGGCAATAAACTTCATCACATCAATATAACTAAGTTAATAAATGTTCCATTAGGCCAAAGTTATTGCATTGACTTGATTAATAAACCGAGTTTTTGCAGAAAGTAAAAGTGGCCGGGCACAACTGACAACAACCCGGTTCTAAGCCATAATAATTGATGCAAGTTAATATTTGAGTGGATACTCTTAATCTCAAGTCATTCCTTTTTTTCTTCTTTGGATTCCTTATTCTTCAAGCATTATTGAAATTCTTCATGCGTAAGGCAACCCAAATGGATAAGAGGGCACTTCCTTTTCCCTGAGGGGAAAGGCCACACTTCCCCTCTTTTGGCCCGGCTATAGAGAAGTTGTGATCCAAAATTTGGATTTCCAAATGGAAACAGGAATAGTCCCAAAAAAAATGTATCTCTTTCACTCTTTTGGAAACCAAGCCTTATGGGTTGACCTATGTATCCCAACTCAAAACTTACTTTGGTCACAACACTTAAGATTATACACCAAATTACATTTATACTCTAACAAATAAATCTAGATCTCACCCTACAGCGGGTATATCTAAAGCAAGTTAATAAAAAAAAATAATTAAATGTCCATGCAGTGTTTGTTATATGTGCAGAAAGTAAAGTAGACCCCACAAACTGGCCATCCTCTTTTTAATTTGACCCTTTACAGGCTTTTCAGCTAGCTGCAGCACATGTGCAAGCCAAACTATGCTTATAACAAGTAATAATTTATTATGTAACTCTCTCCCCCCGCTTTTGTTGCCCTCCCTCTCTGCATGAGCGTTGGCCACCTGCAAAAACATTCTTCTCCGATGAACACTCCAGACGGTTTTTCGTACGCATAAAGAACATAAGATGATAAAATCAATAGCGCTGCCAAAAAACAACATTATCATATTCCCCTACCCACATAGTGCAGAAAATGTGAAGCAGACGCCAACAAACGCAATTTGCCCATCACAAACATAGCAATGAAAATCACTCGGAAAATCATGTCCCGCACATCACAGTTAAAGCCAAGTAAAACTAAAGTAAATACCGGAACTTCCTCCTCTTCTACATCCCTTAGATCTAGAGTTGGTTGTCTGAGCACAATCATCTAAAGTGTGATGTTATGACAGGTTGTGTCGGCCCTGGGGTAGGGTCCTGAGTCAGATGGGTGATTGGATTAAAGTTGTCTAAAAAGTCTGGATTTGTTGAGGCTTTGAAGAGAGAGCTTGAAAGGGAGAGAGGAAAGGGTGGAGTTTGAGAGGGAGAAGATCCTGTGAGGGGGAGGAACTCAAGGGGGTATGGTGGGGGATCCACACGGTTGCTCCAGCAAACTCGCACCTTAGTACCATCGGATTCAAGGCTTGTCTCGAGGTAAGTTCACCAAAGAAGAAAATCTCTTTGGTGTCAAAGGACCCGGCGCCTCCGTCGCACCGGGGAAGGTGGAAGTGATTTTGTAAAGGCTTCTCCGCCTAGCTGTGGGGGCTAAAGGAGAGACACTTCTTTTAGTGCAATACTTGGAGGGTGCCTCCAAGGAGTGGACGTAGGTCAAGGTTTGACCGAACCACTATAAATCCGGTGTGTTCTTTTCTTATTATCGCTTCCGCATTTATTTTTCTTCAGCACCTTTTTGTGGTGATTTTGGCTTGGATTTTTGTCTTTGTTTAAAAGATTCTTCTTTTCCAAATCACCTCTCTCTTTATTAGCCTTGGGCCAGTTCATATAGGGCCTAACATCCCTAACGAACTTTCAAGGATCATTTCTGAGGAGCAAGCAGCTTTTGAGAGAGGAAGGTCATTCTCTGATCATCTTCTTTTGGCTCAGGAGGTTTTTAACAAATTGAGATTTTCCAAGGTTTGCAATGGTTTCTTGGCTATTAAAGTGGACATGGAGCAAGCATACGATAGCATGTGCTGGTCTACTTTGGAGAAAATGATGTTTGAATTGGGTTTCCCTTCCAGGTTTGTTCATTTGGTGTTGGAGTGTATTACAACTCCAAGGTATTCTATCATGATCAATGGTGTAAATTCTAGTTGGATTGAGGGAAAGAGTGTCTTTTGTCAGGGATGCCCTCTATCATCGTTTCTTTTTATTCTTTGCTCCCAACTGCTTTCTAATGCCTTTCATAGCATCATAGAAGGGACTCGAATGTGGGTATTAGGATCTCTTCTAATGCCCAGAAGTTATCTCACTTTTTATTTGCAGATGATATTTTGTTGTTTTTGGAAGCCAAAGTGAATGTCATGAAAAAGGTTAGAGAGATCATGAAGAATTATTGTAAATGGACTGGGCAAAACATCAATTACCATAAATCTTCCTTGGTTTGTGGGAGCTCGGTGGATAGAAGCAGAAGAGTACAGATTTCCAGGTTTATGGGTATTAAATTGGTGAATGAATTTGAGTATTTGGGCATCAAATTGGCATTGAGACGTTTAAGGAAGGAAAACTTTCAGGTTTTATTGGACAAGTCTACTAAAAGAATTAATGCATGGGGGAATAAATTTGTTTCCTTAGCTAGTAGATTGGTTTAAATTAAATCAGTTGTTCTTTCTCTTCCGATTTTTGTAATGTCTCATTCTCTTATTCCGATGAAGACGTTGATGGATTTGGAGAAAATTTGTAGAGATTTCATCTGAAACAAATTTGATGCCAAAAGGGGTATTCATTATGTAGCATGGGAACAAATTTGTAAGCCAAAAAAAGTTTGATGGTTGGGATGTACATTCTGTTGTGGCTAGTAGGAATGTCATGAGAGCCAAGTTTGCTTGGAAATTGATTGATAAACCTGAGTCACTGTTGAGCAGACATCTTATTGCTAAATATGTTGTTAATTGGTGGAGCTATGGGCTGAGTAGGAGTAGTTCCTCTACGTGGAAGATCATGTTGTCTGGATGGAATGCACTCATGAATCATGTTAGATGGAGAATTGGTAATGGTTCTAAATTTAAAGTGCTGAAGGATATCTGGATTCTTAATAAGTCCTTACTCAAATGGCAAACATTTGTGGGTTATTTTGAGGATGAGGATGTTTCTCAGGATTATTTCATTTCAGATGGCTGCTGGGACCGTGAAAAATTTTTTATGTTCTTTGAGACATAACTTATTAATCTTATTTGTGAAGTTAAGATTGATCCATGTTGGCATGAGGATTGTATGGAATTGAAACATAAGATGTCTGGTAAGTCTTTATCTGTTGTAATTATGCAAGATAACTTCAAAAACCTAGAAGACGTGATTCCATTAAGATGGGTTTATAAACTGGGTTTAAATGCAAGATTGGAAGTCTTTATTTGGAGGTTGTTTACGGATGCTCTTCCTTCGGGTGCTTTCTTGTTCAGGAGGAAAATTTTTGATGATTCTTTTTTCCCTATGGGATGTGGAAATGTGGAGGATATCAATCATATTTAATCCAGCTGCTGTAAACTCAAGAAGGTGTTGTATGTGTTGAGAGGATGGGGATTCCAGGTTCCCGTTTTTAGTGGATGGGATGACTGCTGGGCTAGTCTTCAGAGGCTCAAAGATGGGAATATGGAGATGGTAAAGTTGTATTTTACTGTTATTTGGTTTGTTTGGAATCATAGAAATAAGTTCAAGCATGGGAATCCGGAAGTTAGTGAGGTGTTCATTGCTACTTCAATCCTTAGCTTTATCAGTCAGGATAAACAGAATTTTGTTGAATCGAAGAACTGGGTTGTCAATCAGTCCCTTGGGCTGTCTCTAGGTAAATGGCAACCTCCTCCCCCTTGTTGGATTATGATTAATCTTGATGCTTCTCTTAAAGGGAATTATGAGGCAGGTATTGGTGGTATTGTAAGGGATTGTAAAGGAAGGTTTATTCTTGCTTTTGGTATGAAGAAAATTCACTGGGACATTGGCCAGCTAGAGTTATCCACAGTTTCAGCTATTACAGATATTATACGTGACAGATTTGATGATGTTGGAGGCATTATAATAGAAGGGGACAATAAAAATGCTATAAAATTTCTTCACAAAATGCACAGTATACCGAAGAATATGGATAGGAGATTAGATATTTAAGATTCTTCAATTCTTAACAAGGTAAATAATGTGATTTTTCATTGGGTTAATCGTAGTTGTAATATATTAGCCGATTTTTGTGCTAATCATGCTCTTTTTCTGATTTTATTTGGGATTTGTTTTGTGAGAGTAAACTACCTTCTTCCTTTTGTGCTATGTTAAAGGAAGAGTGTGATTGTGCTCTAAACTCTCAGTAGTTTGTACCTAGGTTTTTGCTTTTTTTTTTCTTTCTACGCAATATTAGCATTCTTCAAAAAAAAAAAAAACCTGATCATCAACATGTCTTCTAGTCCAATAACTCCTTTCACACTCTTCACAGTACTCATCACCAAAATGTACGCGACGAGCCTGGCGAAGAAGAGGAAGGACCTATTCCTGCACCTTACCCTCTCCTCCAGCAGCCTCTGATTGATCAATTGGTTAAGAGATTTGATCAATGGGAGGCTAGATTTGATTCATATATCACGGAGCAACATGGACAAAATAAAGAGGATATTGCTTGTTTTGAAAACTATTCCATCCAGCAGCAGCAGCAGCACGATAAGGATATGACATAGTTTGACAAGTAGTTTGCCTCTCTGATCAGAGTTCCTCTTTCTACTTTCTTTTCAGTCTTTTTGTTTTCGTGATTACACTATTTTTTTTATGTCCTTTATTCTATTTAGTGTTTTTCTTTTATCTCCTTTTTTGTGATGTCAAAAGGAAGAGTAGTTATGTTTTTTTTGTTTGCTTATGTTTAGTGAAATTTGCTTTGCTAATTTTTTCTCTCTTAAAAAAAAAAAAGAGAAAAAAAAAATTCTTGCTTAATTTTTTTTTAACAATAATGTTTTCCATCATAAGAAAGGGAGAGATTATTGCAGATATGGACCCAAGATCCGTGATTTTGATGATAACAAATATTATTATTTCCTTACTAGTATGTCTTTATTATTTTCCTTGCTCATTAACCTTTTAGGTCCACAAATTCACTGGAACATCAATTGGCTTAAGATCAGGTAGACTTGGATTGAGTCAGTCTATAATTTCTATTCAAATATATTTTTTTACCTTTTCTTGAGTCAAATCTGAAGCTAAGTAACCTTGCACACACACACTTATGGGAAGAAATTTGGTGAGTTAGAGTTTTCTATTTTTTGATCATATCGTATAGGATGATTTCAAATCATCCCAGACAATCATTTCCACAAGTTCACTTAGGATTTTTTGATCTATTTTATTTTCATTGGACGATACCCATGGTATAGGATGAAAACCATTATATTTTTCTAATCATCTAGGTCAATCGTCGAGGACATCCAGAGACTTTTTTGGGATGATTTATTGATTGCCACCCAAATTGAACTAATTGTCCCGGATAATCGCATGATCGTCAAGAACGATCTGTACAAATTCCTTAACATATTGTCCAAGATAAAGATGATCATATAGACTGATTGGGGTATTTTGAACTAATCATACAGGATGATATCCCTATCATCCCGCATGATCAGTTGCACAAAATTGAAATTTAGGGCTTTTTTATAGCTCTTCTATTTAAGCCTGAGTATTTGTCTTTTAGGACATCTTTTGCTGAATTCCTATCCAAAGAGAGAGCTTAGAGAAGGAGAGAAAGAGTTTAGGAGAGAGAGAGAGAGAGTCTTGTGAGGGGGAGTTTGTGAGAGCTTTCACAAAGGTTGCTCTAAGCAAGGATTTGATCGTCTTCTTCTTCAATCATCATCGTCGACTCCTTGGTGGCTCTAGGAAGGAGTTGATCAGCATTAGATCCGAGTTCTCTGCCTACTTCAGGAGGAAGTAAATGTTTTCCTAGGTTTTCTTCCTACTCTAGGTGGGAGGAAAAGAATTTAAGGTTCTCTGCCTCAACAGGATGGTCGAAAGATTTTGTAAGAGCTTCTTCGTCTTGTTGTGGGAAAAAAAGGAGTGTCACTAAAGGTTTAGTGCAATAATTGGAGAGGATGTCTCCAAGGAGTGTACGTAGGCCATGTTGATTGAACCACTATAAATCATGTGTTCTGTTTTGCTTTTCCACATTTTAATTTTTGTATTTTATTTTTTTGTGATTGATTGCGTGGTTAAAATCTCTGATTTATTTTGTTAATCACTTCCACATTAATGGTTGATTTTTAAAAAAAATAAAAAAGGGTTTGAAAAAGATTTTTCTTTTTTACTTACTAATTTTTAAAACTACCAATTCACTCCCCTCTTGGTTAGCCTTGAGCTAGTTCATAAGGGCTTAATCACCCTAACGAACTTTCAAGGTTATCATAGCCTATTGAGTCATGCTGCTCACTTCTGCTTTCATTTTTAAGCCATGAAAAGGGAAAAGATCATGTTGAGTAGTCTTTAACATTAGGATCTGATATATGTCGTAGCTATGCATTTTGGTTATTTTTTTGGAGAGTTTAACTTTTATTTTGTAGTACTTTTTGTTGCCAAGTGCTATTGAAGATAGACCTCAGATTATACATGTATTTTGGATGATATTCAAAGAAATTAGTTTTGAGATTCATTGATATTTCACTTTATAATATAGTTAATAGTGGCTCTGCATTGTATATAATTCGGATGTTTCAGTCCTTGGAATTTGGCTAATTGGATTATGGGGTTAATATTTGCTTCTATGGTTTGGGTTGGGTCATATCAGGTCGAGCCGTGACAAGCTTTTTGGTATCAAAGCATGAGATTGAGAAATGAATTATAATAGAGATATATGATTAAATTTATAGAGTAAGGTAATTCTAGGTAGTATTAGGTGTTCATTTTATTGTATTTAACTATGTACAATATTTATGAGATGGATGACCCAGATCACAATATGGCCAATAGTTAAAGCTCTAGTTAGGCAGCTCTGGTCCATGGTACAGCTACTATGATCAATTTTGAGATAATTTCTCATATTGCAGGTCTGATAATACAAATGGTAGGTGAGGCTTATACGTGAGTTTCAGGTAGCTGTCATGATGATATGGATAGGTATTTATAAAATTTTTGAGGTTGTAGCATCCTAGTCTTTTAGGTGTCATTGAGCTAAGAAAAGTTGAGGATTAGCTAATAAGCATAGAAAAGACTCAGGATGGGATGCATTATCCTCCTTAGAGGAGAGTTACCTCAGCTTCATTTCTACTAGATGGCGAGGCAGAGTGCTGGTGGTTGGGCTAATGGAAGGAGAAGTTTTAGGGTCATGCATAGTACACCTTGATTTCTTGGGAAGCATTTATAGAGGCATTCAGGATATGGTTTGTACATCCGTATGCTATAAGGAAGCTACAAAGTTCTTTTTTAAAATTAGTTTAAGAGAGTACATCAGTGATGTATTATGAGGTAGAGTTTATTGCTCTATCAAAGTATGCTATAAGATTGATTGGAATATCTTAGGAAAAGTGTTACAGGTTTTTGGAGGGACTTCAAGATGCTTTGAGATAACTATTACTAGCACAAGATTATAAATTTTGCTCAATTATTCCAAAGGGCTAATAGGATAGAGGCTGATATGGTAGTAGTTCTATAGTGATGGGCTGCAAATAGGAAGAGATTTCATAGTGACACATCTAGTATTGCCATTATGGGAAGAGGAGTATATTTAAACTTACTGAGTTTAGGAGGAAAGGATAATCAATAGCAGTTTCTTTTAGATCTGATAGAGGCAGTATTGCCAGCTTTAGAAGTTCAATTAGTGGGGCACCATTTAGATAGTAGTGTGGCAGGAGGCATAGTGGTCAGTGATATAAAGTATTAGGTTAATAATTTTACTGTGGTCAGTACCAACATAGGATTACTGAGTGTCCATAGGGTGGATATGATAGATATTCTTATTGGAGAGCTGAAAGCTTTGGGAAGCTAATGGTGGTGAGGCCAAGGATAGCACCACCCCATTAATATTATGAGGTTTCAATATGTGGAGTGTTGATCCATTATCAGAAGGTCAGTATTCTAGAGGTTATAGGGGTACTGAGTGTTATATTGCTTTATCTTCAATACAACCATGTGTTTATAGTCTGACATAACAAGAGGCTATTAAGTCTCCAGATATTATGACATGTACAACTTACATTTTTACATCACCTTGTCATATTTTATTCGATTCTGGTCCTAGTTATTCTTTCATGTCAAAGTAATATTTTGATTCCTTTTATTTTCCTTTTATGCCATTGCCCATTTCTTTATCTATAGCTTTGACTATGTGAGAAGATTTGGTAGCTACTAGGGTTTATTTTTGTGATTAGGAGTCTTCTGATAGGATTTGGAGTTTTAGTTTAATTTTATTGTCTATTGTTTTCATTTGATGTCATTTTGTGTATGGATTATATGAGTGGATATAGGGCTCAAATCGATTGCCTAAGAAAGAAAGTGACTCTTTATTAGAGTGGTAAGAGTTTTATGTTTCATGGAATAAAATGTATTTTTCCCTTGTTTGATTTCTATTATGGAGGTGGATATACTTTTGAAAAAAAGGTAATCCAGTATTTATAGCATCTATTAGGGATGTAAGGTTATCTCCTTTATCTATGAGTAGTTTCCCTATAGTTTAGGAATTTCAGGATGTATTCCTCGAGGAGTTAAGAACTTTGTCGTTAGATAAGGAGGTAGAGTTTTGCATAGATATTTTTTTGGTACTGATATGATCTCTAAGGCTCTATATAAGATGCCACCTAAGAAGCTTCATGAATTAAAGGTGTAACTTTAGGAGCTAGTGGATAGAGGGTTCATCCATCATCCTAGTGTGTCTTCATCGGGACCACCAATTTTATTTATAAAGAAGATAGATGGAACTTTACAGATTTGTATCAATTATATAGATCTGAATAACATAACCATCAAGAATAAGTATCCCTTATATAGGATTAATGACTTATTTGATTAGCTAGTTGGATGTTCTGTATTTTCTAAGACTGAATAATGTAACCATCAAGATATGAATAACTCCGTTCTTGAAGCTTGAGAGCACAACAATTCTAGAAATCATCACTGCTGTATTGGAGTCTCTATTATAAGTAATTATGGAT